TGGCATTTACTTGACGCCACAGGGGGTGCGCTGGGGGTGGGGGCGCTATGCGTTGCAGGCTCGGAGGGCGTGGCAGGCGTGGCATGTCTTCGGCGCCACAGGGGCTGCGCTGGCGTGGGGGCGCTATGCGTTGCAGGCTCGCGGGGCGTGGCAGGCATGGCCTGTCCTTGGCGCCACAAGGGGGTGCGCTGGGGGTGGGGGCGCTATGCGTTGCAGGCTCGCAAGGCGTGGCACGCGTGGCATTTACTTGACGCCACAGGGGGTGCGCTGGGGGTGGGGGCGCTATGCGCTACAGGCTCGCAGGGCGTGGCAGGCGTTGCATGTCCTTGACGCCACCGGGGGTGCATTGGGGGTGGGGGATGCATGGCAGGCTCGCAAGGCGTGGCATTGCCTCGACGCCACAGGGGGTGTGCTGGGGGTGGGGGCGCGATGCGTTGCAGGCTCGCAGGGGACGCGAATTTGGCGATTGAGGCCACGCTCCTGGCTTTCTGTCGAAGTGTCCCAGCGCATGTGACACAGCATGGCAGGCGTGGCACTTTCCAACTTCATTCCGCAGCCCCAGGAGTTCTCGACCTCTTCCCGGGTGCCGGGCTCGTGCTCCAAAGGCGCGACTGGCGCGGCACTTCCATGACCCTTGAGAGCTGCGCATGGGGCGGGGGGGGTGCCCGGGCGAGAACTCGCGTCTTATCCAGAATTGTAAGCACCTTGGCTCAAGCCGGCTCGGCGCGCCTGCGCTCTCACGCAGGCGTTTCTGGGATCCTGTTTCAGGGCGCCGCCCAACCTGCGCGCGGCATCCGTGCCTCCGAAAGTCGCCGTGGACGCGCTGTCACCCCCGTGTCTGGCGATGGAGATTGCAATGGTTCAGATGAGCAGCGAGGTCAGCGAGAACACCTCGCGCAGATGCACAAACGGAGTGGTACAGTCCGGTTTGAATGCGCACCGCCGCCAGCGTAACAATTTTTGGCCCGATGCGTTCTACGCGAAGTAATCCCAGATGAACGACGACGACAAGAGGCAGTGCCCGGTGGCGCGCTCGTGGAACCCTGCGTCGGGCGGATTCCCCTAGGAGGCTCTTTAAGACGACCGTCGAGGCCCGCCAGCGAAGGTTCGGCGAGCGCGCGAGGCCAGCGGCGCGGCCCCTCCGCCCGCTATCCGTGACGTTAGTCCAAGACATAGCGGGCGTGGTAAATTCTCGTTACCTTGGGGGGTGCGCAGGGGTGGTCTTTGAGGGCGGCCGCTATCCGTGACGGTCGTCCAGGGCGCAGCAGACGTGGCATATTATCCCTGGCCTCCGCCCTGCTCTCTTGGGATCCTGGGTCGCATCAGGTTTTTCTGCGGCGCCCAGGCCGCAATTTTTCCAGCCAGCTGGCGGGGTCAAACTGGCGGATACCCAGTGACGCCCAGGCGTTGCCCTTTCTGGCCCCCCCAGCGCACTCAGGCCCCCAGGGCTTGACCAGCGCCGCCAGCGGTATCGGCGAAGCAACGGCCACCAGCGTCGTTCTTGCAATTCTAACGTCAGCTATCATCGCGCCAGGCATATTATAAGTGTGTGGGGTTTCTCGGTCGCGTAACTCGTGTTTTGATGACCAGTCGACCACTGTCGACGCCGAGCTTCTTGGTTGCGCCGACCCACTGAAACCGAACTGCTGCAATCTCTGCTGACGACGCTTGCCCAATTCCAAACTCGACGTGGCAAGCATGCTTAGTAGATTTCTGGATACTTCGAACCTCACCCTTCCGGGGCCCTTGCAGAACCTCAGTGTCCCTTCGATCACTTTTTCCTTGACGTACCAGTTGGAGCCCAAGCCCGTTTCGTAGAGACACCTAACATCATTATAATTAGGACAAATCTTATTTTTTATATTTTCATCTAATTGTACCATGCGTCCCTATGCTGGGTTATACAAGAGAAATAAGAGAGAGATACCGATATTTCGACCTTGAGGCATCGTGGGCCTCCTTAGACTACGAAGAGCACCCGCACTCTCCTGATGCTGAAGTTGTGTCGAAGGCATGAGCGTACATGGAGCTGGTGCGTCACTCTTCCGTCAGCTTTCTCTAAATCGGTCAGGGCGCACGTGTTACAAAACATGCCAATCAACGCTGGTTCGTTGTTCAACGCCTGGCTCCACACCGCCATCTCGCAACCCCTACCTTTTCCTCCGTACATGTAAGGTCTGCCGTTCTCCTGTGCCCCACCTTGTCGCCTCCCGATGCCGCAGCTTTCCTAGTGCCCGAACTGGCGTCGGCATGCTAGTGGGCCGTCGGCAACCAGTCGGGCTTTTGCAAGCCAGACAACGCAAGAAACTGCAACTGCTTTGGCAACCGCACGATATTTGTCAAGATGTGTAGCAGCATACAGGATGCACGCAGTCCCTCGTCTCCCAGGGATTTCAAAAGGTGGGGCGGCCATCCGTGGACCTCCACTGCCGTGCCCAAGACTTGTCAAGGACATTTGTGCTCAGCTGGCTCTGGCGGAGCCTCCGACAGCTCTATGAGTAACGATTCTAACCGTGGGTGGTCGGGTGCCTTCAGTTCCCCGGATCGCCGCACCTGCTTTCACTCACGCTCGGGGGTCCCGATTTTGTCCATGGCACCTGCTGGTGTTTCGTCTGGGTCGGGGTCATCAGGGATCCATCCATTCGGTAGTTTCACCCACCCATGCGCCATGCCGCCGCCATTACTCGAGGACTCCTTGACCCAGGAACTCCACTTCTCTTGCCTTTCCCTAACTGAACGGGCTGCGTCATTCTGAACCGGGCCTCCCAACTCTGACAGGGCGTCCCCCAATGAGTCCACCATGCAGCATTTGAAACACAAACATGTGTTTTTCCCCAAGGACGTCTAGGATGAACACCTCCACACGACCTCGGATGGCTTCTGAGGCTTCTGGCGTACGTCGCTCACCTGCTGATCCTTATCGTTCGGTCCGTCGGCTCGCAGGCGTCGAAACTCCCCGATACGAACATGGAACCTAACGCACGGCACGCGTGATGTGAGAGCCTAAAGAGTGATGCCCGTCAACATTGACGATGGCCATCCGGGAGACGTACTGGTAAGACTTCCCTCTGCCAGCATATCTTGCGTTATAATCGTTGCAATCTAACTGGTACGCGTCGGCGAGCTCGAGCTCTGCCACCTCGCTGAAGACCTCGTAGATGCATTTCACCTGAGCCTGCGAAGCGTCTGGCTCCTCAGCCAGCCGCTCGAGGTGCACTTGCAGCCCTTCACGCTCCCCCTGGCGCGCGCGGGACGGGGCCGATCGGCCGATCGGGAGATCTCGTCGGGCCCTTGAGGCGCCCGAGCATCTCGAGGTGAGCCGTCGTCCTCATAGACATGCGAACTTGCTATCGAGTGTCCAACCCAGTGTGCTCTAATCGATCACGTCTCCAGACGCTAGGAACTACCAGTCGATCGCATCTCCTGCTCGATGAGGCAATGCATGAGTCGATCGTTCTCCACTCCCTCTCCATTCCACTCCTGCAGGTCGCGCCACCTGGCTCATTAGAACTGTATCGATGTATGATGCCAGACCGTGCTATGGACCTCATTTGCCACGGCGTTGAAGTCACCTCCTACCACGCACAGCTTGCCCATCGAATACATATGCTCTTCCTAAGTAAACAGGACATTGCTGCTTTCAGATCCTGCTCCATCTCCCGCTGGGAGATGCGCGCTCGACACCGCCGAAACCTCAAGGAACAACACCCCCGACCCAAGCCGAGACAAACGCGATGTGGCGTCGGCGCTCATTGGCGTGGCTTCCCATGCCAATTCCCTTTCGAACAGCTAAGCCTACCCCTCCTGGCAGGTCCTCGGACTGGGTCACTTCACAACTCCAGAAAACTCCATCGTATTTTTGTCAGAGGTCGATGACTGCGCAAGGTTCCCTTTCGCAGACCTTCTACTCCCAAACAGACGTGCCTGACATCCTCCGATTGCGAAGTCCCAAGACAATCCGTCAGGACTGCGACTTGGTACTGCGTGCTGGGCTCCTGCTGCACTGACGCTCATAACACCGCTTCTCGGACTCCAACTTCTGCCTGACTCGCTCCATGGCCGAAGTGAGGACTCCCTGCATCCTTGAACTTGTTGCTGTCACGATGGTCCTGGCCGATGTTGTCGAAAGCTTCCTTCCTCCTGACATTCTGCATGATAGTGTCTTCGTCGCCGTCAATGACAATGGGCTTGCCTTGCCGCTTATCTGCGCCACCACTGCCAGTCGCAGTGCGAGCGCCGCCCTTCTGGGCCCCGCTCGCGCTGACTCCTGCCGCCGCCGCCGGCTGCCCGCGCCTCCTCCTGTGCTGGTGACTGCCTGGGGCTGGCCTGCTGGCTGCACGACTGCCTCAGGCGCTTCTCGCATGGCCTGGAAGGCCTTGCGGAGCGTCTCATCTTCAGCATCAGCTGGAAGGGCTGTCGCGAACTGGTCCGTCGCCATCTTGATCGGCGTGCCAAGGTCCTTCGGCACCGCCTGGCTCGTGGAACCAAGCTGAGCTGCCCTCTTCTTCGCATCCTCGAAATACGCCCTGACTTCGTCCATCTCCACCTGCGTGTCGCACACTTGATCGAGCGCCTGCTGCACCGCCATATCCTGCTTTGCCAGCTTCTGCTTGAGGTGCACCATTTGCTGCGAGTGCTTTCCAATGAGCGTGTTGATCTGCGCCACCTCTGCCTTGGAACCCGCACGAGCTGCAGTAGCATCCTGGCGACATGGTGACTGACAGCTCTGTCGATGCTTCACGCTCGAAAACTGAAAACTGGAAAAGGCGTCTCGGCGCCCCCTTCATGCTTGCCGCACACTGCGGAAACCTACGGTTGAACCCCCCGCGACTCGGGTTTTCAGCCTTGAGCCAAAATGGCTACCGAGGCCTCTTCCTCCTCCTCCTCCTCCTCCTCCTCCTCTTTTTCCTGCTCCCTCCTCTTCCTCCTCCTCCTGCTCCTGCTCCTCCTCCTCCTCCTCCTCCTCCTCTCGCTCCTCCTCCCTGGCTCCCTGACGCGAGGACACCGCGTCCAGGAACTGCCTCGGCGTTCTCCGGGGCCACCGGGGCCCTCTCACCACCTCGAGCGCGGACTTCGGGCTGGGCCGGGCCGCCACCGCCGGCTTCGACCTCTCGGTGCGCATCTGGGACTCCCGGCCCCAGGGGGCACCGCCCAGCCTCTTCGTCCTTCGGGCTGGACGGGCTCTGAAGTTGCCACGAGGAAGAGGAGGAGGAGGAGGAGGAGGAGGCGGGAGGAGGAGGAGGAGGAGGAGGAGGAGGAGCAGGAGCAGGAGGAGCAGGAGGAGCAGGAGGAGAGGAGGAGCAGGAGGAGGAGGAGCAGGAGGAGGAGGAGGAGGAGGAGGAGGAGGAGGAGGAGGAGGGAGGAGGAGGAGGAGGCGGAGGTGGAGGAGGAGGAGGAGGAGGAGGAGGAGAGGAGGAGGAGGAGGAGGAGGAGGAGGAGGAGGGGATAGGGGAGGTGGAGGAAAGGAGGAGGAACACGATGAGGAGGAGGAGGCGAGGAGGAGGAGGAGGAGGAGGAGGAGGAGGAGGAGGAGGAGGAGGAGGAGGAGGAGGAGGAGGAGGAGGAGGAGGAGGAACAGGAGGAAGAGGAGGAGGAGGAGTAGGAGGAGGAGGAGGAGGAGGAGGAGGAGGAGGGGGAGGGAGGAGGGACTAGGGACTAGGAAGGAGGAGGGAGGCAGGGAGTGCGGGAGGGAGGGAGGGAGGAGGGCAGGCGGGAGTGCCCTTCACGCCAGCCCTGGCGCTCGGGCGCTGCGTGTTGACGACTCGGGGGGTGATCTTACCAGCGTTCCCTGCCGCCGCCTTGCGCCCAGACAAGCTGCCAGAGCAGGGCGGCCCTCCGCCGTCGCCAGACCCGCACCCGCAGTCCCGACCATCAAGAGGAGGGGGCTGGGACTGCCGTAGCCATTTTGGCTCAAGTCTCTTTTGGACCCCGTGCGTGGTCCAAAGGGGGCCTGAGCGCCGTTGTCTGTCTGGCTCGGCAGCGGCGCCGTGGGACTTGCCAGCAGCCCACACACTGGCTGGCCCTTCCTGCTTCTGGCCTCCACTATTTCTTTCTTCAGTGATTCTTGAGTGTGCTGCGATGGTCAAGCGGGGTGACTGTCTGAAGCAGCGCCAGAGTCCATATTCACCTTCGACACGTAAGGGATTGAGTGTGAGCACAAGTCGCCCGAGACGACAGCGCAGCCCATCTGCCACGCCCAGCTTCCCGCGCAGCCGTAGTGATGGATCTGGGGAGGGTGAGGACACCAGTGCCGAAGCCGTGTTGAAGCAGCTTTCTTACCAGATGTGTGCGCACACTCAGGAGGTGCAGCAACTACGATTTGAGGTTCAGACCTCATGCCAGGTCACAGGTCAACTAGGCCAGAAATTCGCCGCTTTGCATTCGAATACCGACAATGCTCCCAATGAGACTGAGAAGTTAGTCGCGGACATGCGTAAGGAGCTGAACGCCAGGATCGCTGCTGTGGAAGCAGCGAAGCCACCAGTCGAGTTCCCCACCGAGAACTCGTATGAGGTACACAACGTCTTTCAGGAGAGAGTTGCCGATATTGAGAACAAGCTCGCCGCCATCAGCCAGCCTCCAAGGGTGATCACACGGGGGGAAGGCGGCCCAAGCAGCAGGAGGGAACGTGCCGCCTCATTCTTGTTGGCTTCGGCAGACCGCTCATGGGGAGGTCCCTACGACGAGCAGCTGGGCAGGTACGTAGTGCCTGCGCGCCCGCCCACACACATGGTGAGATCACGGTCGAAGCTATCGATCTGTCTCGGAAGGTGGTTGTTGAGCTTCCAGACACCTTGATGTGCAGCCATTTCCTTGAGCAGTTCAAAAAAGTAAGGGCCCGTTCCATTTCCCCAGTCCAATTTCGCCGAATGTCATGTGCGATCTTCGGCTGAAGCGTGATCTTAGCGTTCAAGGGCGACTCGTTTGTGTGGTCATGGGAAGGGTACGCAAGGTGCTCACAGAAACGCTCGCAGGAATCTTCGAGGTCGGATCGAATGGGTTCGGAGGCTCAGTGTATGCCTTGTGGTCAGTCGAACATCCGAACACCCTAGCAAGATTGAGGACGAATGGGGACAGCATCGAACACAACATTCCGGAGGCTGCCGTCATTGAGCTTGCGATTCAACAGGCCTTGCCGACAGCGCGGCAGGCCTTGATCGCGCCCTTTCGAATCTGACACAAGCAGCCTTCGCAGACCTTGTTCCTTTTGTGCCGCCCCGTCGCAGGCCGTTGTTGGGTGCCCGCGCGAAGATGTGAGCGACGACGCGCGTCGAGGGGCCGCTGTCACGCAGATCACTGTTATCTCTCCTTCCTCCACCTCTGGTTCTCATGACAGACCAGTTTTTTTCCATAATGCTGGGCTTAGCTTTTTTTCTCCTATGGCGGGCCCGATGGACTCCTGAAGTTTCTCCTGGGGCTGGGAGGTTTCCGTGCAGTCCTACCTTCTCTGTGACGGCATGTACGTGGAATGCCCGTGGGCTCTTTGGGAATACGAGGGGGTAATTCAACATGTGCAACCAGATATTCACAGGCGCTTGCATTGTGTCATACATGTGATGTTGTGTGTGTTTCAGGAGTGTTGCGGCCATGGTGGGGCTGTCGCCTCATTGATCTCAGTTTCGCGACGCGGCCATTGGCGCCGGCATCCTTGGGGCGACGGCTGGGGGGGGTCGCTATCATCTGTCCACGCCTTCGAACGCGCTTTGCCACGATTGCACGCAATGTCGCGGCGGGCGCGAGGATTCTCGTTTCGCGCTTGCGCTGCCCAGCGGTTGTCTCAGTGTTGCCAACTGCCACGTGCCGAATACTAACTTGGGGATTGGGCTTTATGACCGAGCCTCAAGGGGGATTGTGCGTGCGCTACCGAGCAAAACCAGCTCGTTGAATCTGATGGTGGGCGACTGGAACTTCACATTGCGCGCGGGGTGGGTTGGTGGTGGGGGGGGGGGGCGCGCCGCGGGGTGGGCAGTCGTGGAGGGGGGGGGATAGACGTAATCACGAGAATTTCAATTGTGTGCGTGGCGACTGGCTTGAATATTTTCAGTGCGGGCCGCCCCGTTAGGGGTGGTTGGTGGATGCGTCGGAGAGGCGCGCGTCTCGTCTTGATGGCGTCTACAGTAACAACCCGAGTGCCCTGCATGTGGATTATGCCATCTTAACCGCCCTATATGGTTCTGTTTTCCAGAGTTGCCCCTCGGATCATGAGCCTCTGGTCCTTACTATGGAGATGTTCGGTGCCAAGCTGCGACGTGCCCTGCCTGTTTGGTTGCGTCGTACTCCCGAGCTCTGCGGCCGTGCAGCTCGGATCTTTTAGGAACTGCCGCCTTTGCAGGCCGCGTGTCGGGCGCAGCTTGCCATTGGGCGCATCTGGGCTGCCGTGCGCGAGATTCGTCGGGCCATTCGCACCGGGCCTGCCGAGGGCCCCCTTGGGGGCATTTTTCCGGACGATGTGCTCGACGCGCGGTGTGCGATCTTGTCAGTTCTGCTTGTGCGCGCGTGCCTTTGCAGTTTCTGCTGGCCTGGCGGGTTATTTTGATGCGGAAGGCATGGCGCGCGCGCGGTTTGCCGAGCTTCGCCGGCGCGCGGGGCAACCGCAGGTAGAGCGCATCGAGGCCCAGGAACGGGAGTTGGAAGAGGAGGCCAGTTCCAACGCGCAGCAGCAGGACAGGGAGGGGGCGAGCAAATTGCAGAGCAAGCTTCGTCGCAGTAAACTCTCCTGGCAGCAATTCCGACGCCGCGTGTGTTTGAGTGGCATCCGCGATTCTGACGGCGCAGTCTGCACTGGCGCCGAAGAGGGGGGGCGATGTCTTGCGCGTCATTGGGCTGCTGTCTTTCGCGAGGCCCCAGTGGGCCGTGCGACGTGGCCTGAGTTCAGCGGCTCTTGTCGCCGTCGCAGGGATTGCGAACAACTCACGGACGTGGAGTGGAAGGTTGACTCCATGACGTTCATGGAAAGTGTTCGGTGGAGGAGGAGCACTGCCCCTCGGAAGGATGGCTTGCCATATGCTGCCTGGCAGGTAGATGGGGCTGCGAACTTCTGCGCGATATGCATGAGGAGCTTTATGAGAATAGTAGCACGACCCTCACCAGGAAGATGCGCGATATCTCACCTTCTTCCTGCCTAAGGGCCCTGCCCCGATGGCGCGGCCCATTCCGTGTCCAGGGGCCCTGGCAAGACGCGGCCGCAAGCCTCGTGCGATTCAGGTGCCAAGATCAGGTCCCTTGCTTTATGTGTCCCGCTGGATCAAGTGGCTGCCGCGGCGGCGCGCGACGACCAGCGGGGAGGGGGTGGCGGGGCGGCAAATCCTTTCCAATATTGTGATTGCGGATGGGTGGATGGTGCGGGGTGGTGGTGACGGCGGTGGGGGGCGGGGGGGGTGGGGCGGGGCGGGGGCGGGGCGCGCGGGGGGGGGGGGCTTGCTGCGCTGCGGGGGCCAACGCATTGACCGCCTCCTGGCCGAATGTGATGGTATTTTGCCCCTCCGAAATCGGTGGCGGGTCTTGGTCCGATTTTGAAGCTGTTGGTTGACATAGGAGGCCCTGTTGGACTTAAACTGAACATGGCCAAGAGCGTGCTTCTGATTGTTGGCAACTCGTCTCTTGCTGAAGCCCGTGATCTTGTTAGTTCGCCCGGCCCCAGATTTGCTGACCTGATTGTTGTCCTTTTTTACCAAATACCTCGGAGGGGTGATCGGGCCCGGCGGAGAAGCGCATGCTTGGGATGAGATCTTACCGAGACTCCTCAACAGGACTCTTGAGGTGAACGAGCTGGCCTAGTATTACCTGTTGCTCATCGTGCCTTTCATGTCCTATGCCTACCCCTTCTGCAGTATGTGCTGCAGTTGCATGCGCCTTCCTCGGCACTCCTCGCTGCATATGCTCGGCGTGCTCAGTAGCTGACGCAGGGGCCGTGGAATGCCATGCTGCGTGAGCTACTGGAGGGATTGATGGTGTGTGTGGGTGGGTGGAGGGGGGGGGGGGAGTTGGGCTGCGTCGTTTGCCGCGCGTTAGTTTCGCTGCCCGTGCCCGTTGTGCTCGCCGCCGTGCTGAGTTCCGAACTGCGCTGGAAGAGACAGCGCCCCGCGTCCCACCTCCCCCCACCCCCCTCTCCTCCTCCTCACCCGCC